GTTCTGGGGTACGCGTGCAGATCTTGCAGGATTTTGCATAGGTACACACATGCCATGATGGTTTGCTGTCTCCATGCCCCCGTTTTTTATGACCTCGAGGCTGTGAAGGCTCAAACCTGCTGCAACCTAGGAGGGGCTGTCCGTTGTAAGAAAATCTGAGACCCCAAGAAATGCACCTTCAAATTATCTGAATGGGAAGTGGCTAAAACTCAACTTCCCCCTCTCCTACATTCTCTCCCATCCCCGTGGGGCCTCAGGCTAAGATTTCGGCAGAGAAATCCCTTTCCTTCCAAGGCTTTAAGGGTCCAACTGGGCGCTGGCCGTGTGACCTTCGCCAGGCCCCGGAATCTCCTTTAGAACATCCCCGAGGCCCTCCCTGCCCGGGGCTCAGCAGGCACTCGCCTGCGTCCCCAGACCCCAAGCGCTCGGGATCGCCTCGGGGACGCATCCGCCTCCTACTGCGCATCCCTGGCCAGTCAGCTCCGAAATCCTCCGAGCCGCACGGGGCCGCCGCCCCGTCCTCTCCCGCTCCGGCCGTCCCACCCCAGTCTGCAGCGCCACGCCCACCGGGGGATCCGGGGCCTGCCGGGGCTACCGTCCTCCGCCTCGCCTGCGCTCGCCGGCGGCTCGCTCCCCGGAACCCCGGAATCCCTGGTCCTTTCCCCGGCAGCCGCAGGCCCCCGGGCCCGCCGCCCTTTCCCGGCGCCGCCCGCCAGGGCCGCCTCTGCAGCCGCCGGCGCCCGCCGCCGCGCGCTGATTGGCTGGCGGGGCCGGCGGCGACGCTGAGTGGCCGGGCGGATTCGCTGGGTCAGGGCTGCAGAGGCGCCTGGCGCACCCGCGGGAGCGGAGCCGCGGCGCGCTCGCCCCGGACGCCGGCAGCCCCTCCGCTCGCCCTGCTGAGCGAGCGGCCCGGGGCGCCGAGGGGTCCGCGCCGCGCTGTGCGGGGCGCTTCGCCCTGGCCGCCATGTGCTCCCAGCTCTGGTTCCTGACTGACCGGCGCATCCGCGAGGACTACCCGCAGGTGCAGATCCTGCGCGCCCTCCGGCAGCGCTGCTCCGAGCAGGACGTGCGCTTCCGGGCGGTGCTTATGGACCAGATCGCCGTCACCATCGTCGGCGGCCACCTCGGTGAGCGAGGCGGGCCCCGGGAGGGCAGGGAGGCGCGCCGGGGTCCGCAGAAGCTGGCCGAGTGGGAGCGCTCGTCGGGCCTCCCGCAGCCGAGTCTCCTTCGGGCCCGCACACCGGCTGCTCTCCCTCTGCGAGACTTCTTGGGGTTGGAGAAAGCCGCTAACCTTCATAGCTTCTTTAACCACCACCACCTGCCCCGAGACCAGGATTCGAGAACGCGATTTAATTTACTTAGGGGACTTCGTTTTGTGAAAAACCCAAATTCACCTGAAGCCGCCGGAGTGTCCTAGGAAAATCAGGCAGTTAAGCCCCAAATTTGCAAATCCTGCTTGCATCAATACCTTCACAGTTTAGACTCTGAGATTTCTAGAAACCCACACCAGATTTACAAAATTACGATTAAGATGACTTTTAAAAAGTTTTTTAGGAGTGTGTAAGCATCAGTACTTTAAAAAACCAGATATGGGGGAAATCTGAGAAAGACTGGAGTCACTTCTGGAGTGTAAAGGGAGAGTGTAGACCTTTGATGGGTTTAACTCATCCTTCTCCCTAGCATTGTTGAATTCTGATTCCAGAAGAGCCGGGATTTCAGGTACAGACCGTTCTGGCCTCACTGATCACTCCACTGCTGTGTTCAGGAGACTTTTGTGGGTAAGACATTGTTGTCATCTGTGGGTCTGACCTCGAAAGAGTAATTATTTTTTCATATATTCTTAATACAAGGCCTCTCTGATTTAGGAATCCCTGACGCAGAAAACTCCCCCTGGCTTGCTGTCTGAGTGTCTCTGGGGCTCCACTGAAGTCATCCAACAATTTCAGGGAGTCCAAGACTCAAAAGGATTTGTGCCCAGTTCAGAGTGCATCTTGGGATACTGTTCGCATTATTTCAACCATTATTTCTGGTTAAATAAGCTTGTAATTTGTTACTTTGCTTTGGCAGGGAAAGGAATTCCAAATTCGGAAAGACTACTTACAAGTGAGATTTTGAATATGACCTGTTTCTGAGTGGAATATATCTGTTATAGGTTTTTCATCCGTAAGTTTATCGAATCCCTTATACTTAATATCAGATTGTATATCCTTGGGAGAAATATACCATAAATATTAGGTACCTTACATTTAATCTACAACCAATGTCTTTCAGATTTACTAAAAAAACTCTCACAGTTAATGTAGAACTAGATTTCTAAACAGGGAATCTGCAGATGTGGATTCTTACTACAGCTTTGCAGTTGACAAGTATCTTGGCTTTGCTCTGGGCGAGCCAGTTTATGTCTTTGAATCTCAGGATTATCATTTATGGAAACTAAGGGTTAGGGTTAAGGTTCCTCTAGCTTTAAATTTATGTGCTTCAGTATCATATTTAAATTGTATAATCTGTTGTATTTTACCGACGTAGATTAAGTAACATGTACATCTTTCTATCCAGGATGAGCTTTTAGCTTATTTATTTTACAGCTTATAAAGATGTCTTTTTTGAGATACAGTAACCAAATTTCACATCATGTTCCTGTGGTAGAACCATCACAAATTCTGTAAGAGTAAGAAAATGAATGCTCTGTATCTAAAACCCCATTTTAAAGAATCAGCCCTAGAAAAAGATAAAATTAAATGCTAGTGCCATAGGAAACATTCAGACTCTTTTGTTTAATGTCTTAAATATTAATGGAATTCATGTGTGAAAATACCTTTATCTACAAACAAGGAGTTTGTTCTTTTTAACTACAAGAAAATCTACACAGCTGTTTGCCTGGTAGATGGAGAAATTGAAGACAGGCATTTTTTTGGTTGCAGTTTTAATTTTTGTTAATTCTGAGGTAGCTCACACAAATCACAGCACATAGTACAAAACTAATAGATCACCAATTTTGCTGTCCAAAGCTGTCAAAAGATTTGTTATGGAAGCAGAGTAATTAAAGCACAAGTGAGTCCCATGAGAATGACCTTGTTGGCTTTGTTCAGTGCTATAATAGTGGCTAGAATAGTGCCTTGCACATAGTAGGCTCTCAATACATATTTTTTAATGAATCAGGATATGATCTATGTTTCCCAGTTTCTTCTGTAGTCAAACTATAGAAAACCCTTGACAATTTGCCGAGCCAGCGTAAAAAAACAAACAAAAAACAAAAAAAAAACAACAGAATTCACCTGCTTTGAAATACAGAAATATGTAGTTATGATACTGATATTATTTACCATTTGAGAATTACAGAATGAGAAGTGGGAAGGATTTTCAGATCATCCATTCTAATTCCTTTATTTTGCAAAGAAGAACCTGAAGCTCAAAGAGGTGAAGTGACTTCCTCGATGCCATCCAGGTAGTTAGCGGCAAACCTAAAGTTAAAAAACCTGATTGCCTAATTTCTAGCCCAGTGATAGGGAATAAGCTTCCTTTCGGACATCTGTAACCTGTACTACCTTTCTCAGTAGATGTGGAATTGAACTGATTTGAATTAAATTGAGGCTAGACAGTGACTTTGTAATGTAATTTTATAGTTTAGGAAATGTAGGTATCACCTTTACAAAGCCTTTGTGCCTTCATTCCTTTCTATTGCTTCTTTATGTTAGTGTAGAAATATGACGATGGAGTTGATTGGGGAAGGTAGGTATGGGCAGTGCCTCTGCCAATTGCTTAAATTCATTCCTGAGTTTTTCTCTCTGGAGGCCAGTGGGAGCCCAAATCCAGGGCTTAGCGTTTCAGTTTCATCTAGAAATAGGATTCAGACAAGAGATGATAAGTTTTGAATTTAAAGATTGCAGGTACTGTATTTTAAGCAAGATTATTCATGTAAATGGAAAATGCTATACAAATGCAAGGTTTCATGATTATTATTTTTAATCTAGTAATCTGAGTGGGGAAACAGCGGGGAAAGGAAAAGGATCTTTAAGTGCCTGAAGCAGTCCTGTAGAAAACAGCCTCCCTTCACTTTCTGCTGGGTATAACATCATATGAAAATCATATCCACCTCTGTTTCCTTTTTAGAAACTGCAAGTTCTTTATTTATTCAATAAATACGTACCGAATATTCTCAACCCTAGGGATAAAGTGATGGACGTGACACCAGAATGTACATCATAATAAGGGTCATAGCAATATATGTATATATATGGTGCTTATTCTGTGCCGGGCATAGATTTACCTCCTTTTTACCTATTAGCTCTTAAATGCCAATAAGGATATATGGGAATATAGCACTGGCTGGGAGTTAGGACCAATACTCAATAATTCTGGTCTAAACACGTCTCCGCTCTTCCACTCTATCCCTTACATCAGTTTACACTGATTTCACTATGCCCCTCTGTGACTCCAGACTTTGCACTAAAATTCCCTCTGCCTTGGATGCCCACTGTTCCCTCCCACATGGTTAACCTCTATTCATCCTTCAAATTCAGCACAGGTCACTACTCTCTATAAAGACTTTTTTGAGCTCCTTACTCAGTTCCCAAGTAGTCCCTCTCTTTCATCTGCTTCCAGATAGCTTTGTCCATACCTTTTAAAATAGCACTCAGCATATTTTGTTATAATTTGTCTATTTATACAGTTTATATCCCTCCTCCCCCTGAAGAACTGGGATTCCTCAAATGTATGCTTCATAAGTAGTACATAGTAGGCATTCAGTTAATGTTTGTTGGATGACTAAATGAAGTTTCTTAAAAGCTAATTTGAAGTATGTGAGACTTTTACTGCAATGAGCTAAGGAGCTTCTGTGTCGGGGAGATCATGAGAAGATGTGTAAATGAGGACAGATTCACTAGGGAGAATTAAGTTCTTTGCCCACCCGCAGGTCTGTTTGATTAATTGGCTCAAGAAACAAGTATAGTCACAAACTCAGGGACAAATACCCACCAAGACATATAAAATGAGTCTGACCTGGAAATGAGGTTGTGTTAGTGTTTGTCTCTTAGGAGCAGGATGATTCAGCATTCCTTCCCTTACATTCAGAGCTAAAACATTGGTGACTAAATCACAAATTCTAGGTCAGGTTCTTTAAATCAAGGTGTTCTGGGATCCTTTTACTTGGTTCTTTGTATTAATCAGGTGAGTCAGATATAAAAGTGTTGGGAAGGGGTGGATTCTGACTAGATTGGTATAAGGAAATGGTCTTTCTTCAGACCACTAAAAGGCAGCAGAAGGCTCACAGAGAATAAATGGACTCCTATCACTGTGCAAGAAGACACTGGCAGGAAAGAGTACCATGCTAACTTTTGTGCAGAAAACTTGATCTTTAACTTCAGTTTCCACTAAAGGCTTGTGCCTGACATCTTATAATCCAAATGATACCACTGTGCAACACTTGTGGAAAAGAAAGGTCAGGGAATGAATGGAAGCACCTACCATGTATTTCCAAATGGATGTGAGTGCTGCACTGATCTGCTTTACCCTTTGGGGCCACATTTATATCTGTAGGCTGACCTCAAGGGCTGAGGGTGGGATGGATGTTTATGTTTCTAGAAGGAGTTTTTAGGGACACCTCATGAACTGTGTTAGGAAGAGTTTTAGAACCAGTAGAAGAGATTCTTCATGGATCTCAAAGCTTTACTCCTAGATTTTCTTTTTTTTTTCTTTTGAGATGGA